AATATTTTATATTATTAATATATTAATTATCATTATAATCATATTTTTATTACTTAAATTTATAGTATCAGTCTACTACTAATTTATTTATTTTAAAATAATAATGTTAATATTTATTATTAATATTATTATTTTTACTTTAAATTAAGTTTAAAATTATAATATGTTATTATTTTCTTGAAAACATAAATCATTATTTTATTATCATTTTAAAGATATTTATGTTGTTATAAATATTTATTATTGTATTAATTTGCTATTATCGAGAGATATTGACAACTTTATTATCATGGATGATTTGAATTTTAATTTTAATTTGAAATTATTTTTAAAAATTCAATTTTCAAACATTATATAATAAGTAATAAATAAATTATTAGGAATTCCATAATAAATCAATTATATAATAAGTAATAATTTAAAAATTTAATTTCCAATGGTAAATGATTCTGATATTAGGAATTCCATGCTTGAAAATAAATTATTGTTTTGAAATGTAAAGTTAGTAATAAAACAAAATCAATTCAACACCGAAAAAAACAACACCAAAAAAAAAAAAAATCAATTATTGATTTTATTATACCATTTATTCTCGTGAAGCTAAACAACTTATGGCATTTAGTCGGAAACAAAAATATTTAAATAAATTTTTTCATGAACACTTTTAGTAGAAAAAAATTGTGCAAAGGTATAACAATTTAAATAAATTTTTTCACGCACAAATCAATTTATTAAATTGAATCAACTTAAACTTAAACTTCAATTTCTCAATAGCAAGATCTAAATTACAAATCAATTTCTAATTAACGAGTATCAATCGCCAAATAAAACATTACACAAATATTTAATAACTAAATTATATTAACAGTCATCAAATCAAAAAGAAAAAAATGAATGACAAAAAGTTCAACCAAGGTTCATCCTACCTTAACCAAGAAAGGGCTTAAAAACTGGTGGGTTCCTAAATGCAAAACAATGAAAATAGAATAAAATAGAAAAGTCACATAACCTCGAAAAAAGTCCAACTTGAATTCCTAAGATCCATGGTTAAAGAATGTTTCTTCCAACTTCCAAGTCTTTGTTGCTCCCAATCCTCTGAATAGTTCAAGAAATTCCAAACATATAACATTTTTTATTTTTATTTTTATACTTAGTCTTGTTTTTCCCCCTTCATTTCCTGTGCAAAACCCTAAACCCAAAAACTCATTGTATGAGCCAATATGCAGACTTTGTCAATGCATTGTCAAGCGAGTGGTGTTTGACATCAACCTCACGAGCGACTTCCAAACCCGATTCCTGCCCAAAACATGTCAAGTTTAAGAATATCGAAGTTAAAAACATGAATGCATTACATTATTAATAATTGGGTCATTTCCTTTAAAATTCCTCTAAATCAATGCACAAATCATGTAAAATAACTCTATAAATTTACTTCAATGTTTATCAAAGTTCACTACGACTTTTTTTTAATTATCATAAAATTTATGAACATTGTCCAATAGTTAGAACTTAGAAGTACAAAACAAAAATTATTCTATAATACATTTGAACTATTGTTTGTCAGGCCCGTCCCGTCTAACCTAACAACATGTTGGCCAAATTAATGTCTGACTAGGATGGATTGGCTTGCTAGTCCATTCAATTAATTTTTTATTTATTTAATATGTAACTTTTATTGTATATCAATTTGTATTGGAATATAATCTTATTATTTAAGAACTATTAGTATTTGTTTTGTAATTTTTAATGATTATAATAATTTTATTTATTGAAAGACCATTAGTAATAATGTTAATTGAAAAGAAAGATTTTAGTAATTTATTATTTATTATTTTTATATTATAGTCGTGAAGTTGAAAGATAAAGTTATATTATGTTATGATTCATTTGACTAAAATTTTCAATTGTTGTAAAAAAAATAAATTAATAATAAAATAAAAAATTAATAATTTTAGTGGGCTAACTCGCCAACCTGTCTTTAAGTGAAACAAACCAAAAATTTTAGTCCGCTTTCATCAAATAAGCTAACTCTCTCACCCTATTTTTGACAAGTTGGTGGTTGAACGAGGTAAAATGGGATGAGATCAAATTAACCCATTTTGCCGCTCCTAATTTTAATGAATTATATACATAAAAAGTCAAAAAATACAAGTAAGACTCAAACAAATGAAACTTGATTTTAATTAGTTTAAGTATTAAATTGTCATCTAATTTAGAGTTTAATAATAATATATTAATAATGTTAAAATTTTATATATATAACAAGTTTTTTTTAATTTTTATAATAATAATCTTAAAAAAATCATATAATTTGTGATTTTTAATCGGTTAATTGTGTAAAAAAATTGACATTAATATTATATTATCATTAAACTTTTTTTAGCCCTTTAAATTATGTGATCAATGACCCAACTTGATAATAATTTAAGAAACAGATATTATACCTTAATCTTGTAATATTTTTTATAGGTCATTGTTGTTTTGTTTGTTTGACAAGGACTTTATGTATTTTTAACGACTATTTTGATTATATATATATACCCTAATACCACAAATCGAATCAAACTACATAGTTGCATTAGTATAATTCTGGTTTAGAAAACCAAAACTAAACTGATTTGACTTAATCCAAGTTAGATATCAAAACCGATTTCTTATATCGTAACATATGTTTTAACATAAAACCTATGATTTAAATTTATTTGAGTACGTTTTTTAATTACATTTAATGATTCAATATTAAATTTAGAAAAATTTAAAATGAACGAACTTCAAATTTTATTTTGTCAGACAGATGTTGTAACACAAAATCCACAATCTTTTTTTTTCTTCTTACCATTAATATCTCCGACACCTGTAGTGACCAACTTTATTTACAGTATTATAGTTATTGTTGGTCCAAATAATTTATTGTTGCTATGTGTCGGTATAAGATACTTAACCAAGGTAGTCTATGGGGTTATATTAAAGATATAAAAAGCGGTGTAAAGATGATAGTGTTGGGTGAATAATACAAGGTGTAGGCCTGGAGGCTCCCATTACCTCTCCTAAATATTTATTCTAAAACATATGAAACATTTTTTACAGAACACCAGCAAATTTCATTTGTGCATGATTACTTTAGTAAATAAAGGGAAAATGATTGTTCCTCCGAAAAATGTGTGCCGAATTCATTCAAAACATTAAAATAATAATTTAAATTATAAAATATTTAATTAAATAATTATTTATAATAAATTTATTATAAAATATTAATATTTTAAAATTTCGAACGATGATTCGAATAACTATTCGCACTGTGTAGCACAACTCTAAATAAAGTTAGCAGCCTCTTCACATATTACATTGTACTAATTGCAATCATATATGTAGTGATGTAAGTGCACACGTCATGCACAGTACTCGCCCATCATATATTCTCATATTCATATCATATTATTTTATTTTAACTACAATATATGGCTATCATAGCTTTCAAAGTGGACCTTTATTTTACTTAATCAAATGACATTTTTAAAACCTCAAGTGTTTCATACATTCATGCCAAGTCTACCTAACCCCTTTTTTTTATAAAGGAAACAAAAAGATTTTATAAATATTTTATTATATTTCTTCAATTAAATAAGGAAAATATGTTATAGTTAATTAAATTTTAATTTTTTCCGTTTGTCTTGTACCAACAAGCACATGAGGTAAGAAGGTTTTATAATTTAATCATTAATTTTGAATTCAAGTGTTGAATATATAATTATATTAAATACTTGAATAGAAAATTTTACTACTCATAATAAATGTATTCGATTAGAATAAAATTTTCTACTATAAAAGATTAATCATATATATTCTGCTGCAGACATCTTTTAATCCTTCATGATTTAGTCGAATGAATCAAAGATGAAAAGACCAGATTAGATTAGATTTGTTAGGAAAAATAGTGAAACAGTCTTATTAGTTCTAACATATAAAAAAAATGAAATAGAAAACTAAATTAAGAAGCACAAGCACAGCTTTAATGGGTCCATATCTTGAGTGGCCACTAATATGGTATTAATTTATGGTCAAACACAGGGGTCTATATAAAGGCATCACCAATGGCAAGTGCTTAAGTGAGTGATTTCAATCCATAATAATATTAATCAGTTGAAGAGGTGAAGAATGAGTAACAACGGTGCAGGGAAATTGGTGTGTGTCACCGGAGCTGCCGGTTACATTGCTTCATGGATTGTCAAGTTCCTCCTTCAACGTGGTTACACTGTCAGGGCTACTGTTCGAAATCCAAGTCAGTTTTTTTCCCTTATTAATTTGTTACTCTTCATCTTTTCTTTAATACTGTCTTTCACGCCATTTAATATGTTATTTAATCCTTGAGTTTACATGTAAGAATGTAAAATAAATTATTTTTTTTAATAAGTTAATGTTAACTTTTGTAAAACTAAATGAGAGAGGTTTTATAATTACTTTTGATTGGCCATTTTTTTTTTAAAAATTATATAAAAAAATTATTTTAAACAGTTTTCAATTTTTTTTAATATGTCAGTCTAAATTGTTTTTTTAAGATAATAAAACTGTTTACTAATTTGTTTTAAGAAACAAATCTCATATTTTATTAAAAATTGAAATATTTTTTTAAAAAAATTAATGTTTCTTAAAATAAAAAAAAAGGCTTATCGAAAAGTTTATTAAAATATGACTTTAAGTATGTTTGTGTTCTCCTTTGTAATAAGAAAAATGAACCCAATAACTAATAAGTAGTGATTCATAATTGAGTAGCACTATGAATGAGTGATTTACTTGAATTTGTAATCACTGCTTGCAGATGATCATAAAAAGGTGGAACATTTGCTTAAGCTTGAAGGTGCAAAGGAGAGACTACACTTGTTTAAAGCAGATCTTTTGGCTGAAAATTCCTTTGACTCTATTGTTGAGGGTTGCGATGGTGTCTTTCATACTGCTTCTCCCTTTATTGTCAACATCAAAGACCCACAGGCATGATGCTTTTGTTTATAACTAATTGAATGTGATCTGATTTTATGGTCAAATAAGCATTCGATGTCAACTAAGTTTTTTTTATATTATTTATTTATTTATTTATTTCAGGCAGAACTAATTGACCCAGCAGTGAATGGAACTCTTAATGTTCTTAAATCATGTGTAAAATCCTCATCTGTGAAACGAGTCATCTTAACATCTTCTGTGGCTGCAGTTGCATACAACGAAAGACCTAAAAGTCCCGAAGTTGTAGTTGATGAAACCTGGTTTTCAAATCCAGATTACTGTAGGGAATTAAAGGTATATCTTATTTTTCATAATCATTCAAAAGTTGGAATTGAATAACACATGTTTTCCATATAAACCTAGTTTTCGTGCATTGACATTACTATGATAAATGTGAGCTATATGATTGTATCATTTGTGTGTTCCTTATGTGAGAGAGAACTTTTTATTTATGAACTTCGTTGTATTCTTGCTGGTGTCAAGAATTTGAAAACATCTTAGCACTTTGAATCACTTAATCACTAGACCATAACTATTAAGCCAGTTATGTTGTTAATGTATTTGTTTCGATGAGCATGAAGGTAATAATTAGTAGTGTGTTAGCATTGTAGTTAACTTTATTGTCATTTGCTATTTGTGATCAGCTATGGTATATGCTTTCAAAGACTTTGGCTGAGGATGCCGCATTGAAATTCGCAAAAGAAAACAACCTTGACTTGGTTGCTGTTAACCCAGCAATGGTTGCGGGGCCACTTTTGCAAGCAGAGCTTAACACAAGTGCTGCTGCAATTTTAAACTTAATAAATGGTAATTTTTGTTTATCATTGAATTATTGTTAGGCTGCAATGAAATTTTGTCATCAGATTTTTCTGCATCTGGGTTACATTACATGATGTCTTCCAAATCGAATCCAACTGAATTGCTTTTTTCGTCTCAAGTAAAATTGAAAAGGGAAACAAAAGGTGAAAATGGAGATATTGTTATGCTAGATAAGAATACGATCCCTTGATATTTATAGCTTGATTTATTTTTTCTCATTGGCTTGTCTTGAACAAGACACAAAAAAATATTATTAAGGTTTTGTTTGGAAAAAAATATCAATAAGGTTTCATTCGTCAAGTTGCAACATAAAAACCAAGGGAAAAGTGAAAGAAAGAGCACTTCCTATGCTGTTATAATATGTATCGTATGTTATGTTTTCATTGACCATGTTATGTTCATTAAATATATTCCGATTCTTTTGAACTGATTGATGCAGGTTCAGAAACTTTTCCAAATGATACTTATGGATGGATCAATGTGAAGGATGTTGCAAATGCCCATATTCAGGCATATGAAATTGCTTCAGCTAGTGGAAGATACTGTTTAGCCGAGAGAGTGGCACACTTCTCTGAACTCGCCAATATTTTACGTGATTTGTACCCGACATTTCAAATTCCAGAAAAGTGAGTTTAGTCTTGTGCTGTTATACTTTTTTCATACTTGTAAATAGTATAAGAATTCAAATTCTCATTTTCTAAATACTTTTTTTTTAGGCTACTTTGCATCTTGATTCAATACTGAAAATGTGTTTATTTTTTAAATTATTTTGAAGCATTAACTATTTCTTGTTTTTCTTATGGTACAAACCTTAGTAGATAATGTGTCTTTCAAGACATCTCAAAATATAGACAAGTTTGATAATATGTAGGCATGTATACAGATATTGAGTTAGATGAATAAGAATCATAGCTGATTAATTGATTAGTGTAACATATATTACATGTCTTTTTGCAAAAAAAAAAAAAAAAGAGGGGGGGGGTATATGTCCATGTTTATATTTAAATATTTTTAAAACCAAAATTATCTTTTATTTTTCTAATAACATTTTGGTATTCATGCAGGTCTGCAGATGATAAGCCTTATGTACCAACATTTCAAGTTTCTAAAGAAAAGGCAAAAAGTTTGGGGATTGAATTTATTCCTTTGGAAGTTACCCTTAAAGAGACTGCGGAAAGTTTAAAAGAAAAGAATTTTGCCAACTTTTAACTCCAACGTCTCCTTTCATCATGAGTGAACATTAATAATCTCAATGATGTTTGGCAAATGATTCTGGCTTCAGGAACTCCATATTATAAAATAAATTAATGTTTTGAAATATTAAGTATGTAATAAAGCAAGACCACTTGTTATCTTGTTGATTTTATTTTGGTTTGTAGTCGTGAAGGTGAACAACTAGTGATATAAGTTGGAAATAAGTATCATGTTATTTCTTGTCCAAATATACTATCGTGTATTTTTTGGGTAATGGGACGAAAATAAAACCAAAACAGAAAGTAGTGAAACAAATCTAGCCTATCTGATACTAAGTTCACAAAGAGTCCGCAAGTAAAAAACCAGCAAGAGCCAAAGGGTACCCTTTTAAAGCTCCATCCTACCCAAAGCATCTGCGCAATTATTTTCTTCTGGCAAAGTGTGGATCACGGCAGTGTTTTAAAACCCGGACCGACCCGGCCGGTCGGACCGGTTGGACCGGGAACCGGTGGTCCAGCCAGTCCGAATCTGAAGTTGGATCGGTTATGCAGTCGACCCGTTTCAAACCGGATTGAACCGGTCAATTTTCCTGTTCAACCGGTGAACCGGTGGCTCAAACCGGTTCAACCACTTTTTTTTTTTTTTTTAAGGGACCATAAATCACAAAAATAATAATGAAAATTGAATCTCTTAATGAAAAAGCAATGAGTCTTATTAAATATAACAATGACTACTTGTTCTAATATATTTGTTTGCAATATATACAACTTAAATAACTTTTATAGTATATTATTAATTTTAAATTATATATTTAATAATGCAATATCTATGTAAATATTACATATATTATTTTGTGATATTAATTGCAAGCATATTATATATGTACATATTATTTATATTTTTAATTTGTATTAATATACCGTTTAACATGTAATTTTTTTATGTATTTTTTTACAAAATAAAAATAAAAATAATTTTAAATAAGATAGAAAAATTTAAATTTAAAATAAGATATGAATTTATTAAAATTTATAAGTATAAATATATTTAATATGAATATTTTTTAATAAAAATCGAGTCATGCGGTTCAACCAGTGACCCACCGATTCAACCTTTGACCCACTGACCCAATACCTTAACCGGTTCGATGACCGGTCCGATTTTTAAAACTATGGATCACGGTCCAAATATATTATTGTTTATTACCCTATAATAGTTAGGGGTGTACAAAATTCAAAGTGATCTATAATTGATTCGCATAAAAAAAATTGATCAATTTTGAATTTTTGTTTGAACAATTCATAAAAAATAATTTAATTATCTCATTTATTTTTACAAAGTGATCAATTTGATTTGGTTTGATTTTTAAAAAAAAATTGATTCATATGATTAAAAAAATGATAATTGTACTATGGGATCTAATTTAAAAAAAATTAATATTTTAATAAAATTGAATTAATTCACTTTATAAAAAATATCTATTAATATATCCACTTTTATTAAACAGATCATTTTGATTTGATTTAAATTTTTCAAAAATTCAATCCATAAATATCCTTAAGATCATCTATTCCTACTTAACAAAATATTAACGATTTATTATTTAATAATATTTTACTATCAAGTGAATTTTTATACAAATTCTATTAAATACTCTAAAATTTCAATAAAAGAAAGTTCCTAAGGAGTTAAAGCTAAATACAAAGAAAACATTTAGATATAATTAAGTTCTTTGTTCTTATAGAAAATTGGATACTTAAATTTTATGAAAATAATAAAATTTCAGCTATTAAAATCGTAAATAATAAAATAATTACTTGTATTTTGAAATTATTAAAATATTTATTTTGAATAATGTATTTGATAAAATTAAATTATAAATTGATTAAAAACTTAAAATCTATGAAGTTGATACGAGGCGATGTGGTATATATGTATTTTATAGTGAATGTGGGCCTGTGGGGGCATATGAATGAATAATGATGAAGTTAATTATTTAAAATTTGGGAAGTGAAAGATAAGGTTGACTAGGAGTGGGAACAGTGATAGGATGGAGAAGTGGTGTGTGTGACCGGTGCTTCCGGTTTCATGGCTTCATGGATCGTCAAATTCCTTCTCCAACGCGGTTACACCGTCAGAGCCACCGTTCGCGAGCCCAGTGAGTGAGCTTCTGATTCAAGTCTTGTGCTATTGAGTTGTAACTAGATCTCTAATATGTTTGTTCCAACATGCTGCAATAATTTGTCTTCTCTTCTATATAGTATATATGTTACCATGCTTGCTAATTTTCTTGCCATTTCTTATTTGTGTCTTCAGATGTGGTACACGGTTTCAAAGACTTTGGCTGAGGATGCTGCCTGGAAATTTGCAAATGAAAACAACATTGACATGATTACTATTAACCCAACAATGGTGACAGGTCCTCATTTACAACCAGAGGTTAATGAAAGCGTTGAGCCAATTTTGAACCTAATAAATGGTCATTTGTATTTACTCATGTTTGTTTGTATAAATTTTATATTAGAAAATGTGTTACAGTGGCAGAATTGATTTTGTATATTTTACAAACAGGAAGTAATTCTTTAACTTATTTAATGCAGGTAAAAAATTTCCAAATATATCTATAGGATGGATTAATGTGAAAGATGTTGCTATCCCTCATATTCTTGCATGAGATTGCTTCAGCCAGTGGAAGATACTGTTTGGTTGAGAGAGTCATACACTATTCTGAATTGGCTCGAGTTTTACGTGATCTTTACCCCCACATTACAAATTTCAGATAAGTAAATCTAATTTTATAAAACATGAATTGGAATTCCCATTTATTGAAACTCCTTTTGTGGCCCTTTACTGGCTCGTTTCCTCCTCGTTCATTTGCCCTTGATTCTTTGAAAAACAACCTTGCTAAATTTGGCACTGTACTAGCCTATAGAGATGTTTCATTATTTTGAAGCTGAAATTATCTTTCTTGTTTTCATTATTTTTTCCCCAGTAATTGCTTCTTGCAGTATTTATAATCATTGCTATCTCTGATTAAGCATATAGTTTAGCCTTCATTTAGTATTATCATATGTTCATTGCCATGTCTCTGTGCCCAGTTTTCGGAAAGTTATTTTTCATCCCCCATTAAGGGACAAATAACATTTGCACATTGACAAATCTTAACAATGTTATAAGGTGTGAGGTGGATGAGGCGTATATGCCAACATACCAGATTTCCACAGAAAAGGCAAAAAAGAGTTTGGGAATAGACTTTACTCCTCTGGAAGTGAGTCTTAAGGAGACAGTGGAAAGCTTCAGAGAAAAGAACATTGTTAACTTTTAATTCCTGATATATCCTGCATGAATAAATGTTGATGATCTCAACCGCCTTCGGTTTGTGACTATGATAAACTCCATGCTTAAGAAGGAATTATCACCTTAAAATAAGATGAGATCTGACTCGTTCAAACTTTATTTTATTACACGAATCAGTTTTAAAAAGTTCAATCGGAGTTCGTATTTCACAACAGACCCTACTGTCATTGGTCTAAGAAGTTTTGTTAATAAAACTTGTTTTTAATGAAATGCGTTAAATTAATTTGATAAAGGACCAAATTAAAAAAAAAAAAAAAAGATAAATTGCATTGTTTCAATTCCAACTATATAACGTTGAGTACTTCTGATAACAAACCTATGCTAAGGTAGATCTCCTTTGATTTATTCATTGAAAATGCACGATAGAAAAAAATAAAATAAAATTATATATATATATATATATATATCAAATGAAATATCTATTTATAATATAAAAATTAAGTTACACTCTATTATGTTGATATATTATTACAAAATTAATTTTATATTATTATCATGTCAGCATATTTGTCTATGTGATAAATTTTCAAAATTTTTATCTTTTATCATGTTTTTCTTTTACCTTCTATATATTATATCTTGTTCCACATTTTATATAATCTAACTCTCATTTCTTTATTGTCTAATTTTTATTCTACTATAATCATCATAATTAAAAACGTACTATTTTTTTTTCTTTTCTATCTTTTGTATTACATATTTACGTTTTATCTAATTTATCTCTCATCCTCTTTATTTTATTTTCATTTCATATGACAATTTTTGTCAAAAATGAAAGGTACTACTTTTTCTTTCTTTTTTTTTCCTCCTCTACCTTCTATATTATATATTTACGTTCTATCTAATTTATTTATCATCCTTTTTGTTTAATTTTCATCTCACATGGCAATTTTTATTAGAAATGAAAAGTACTACTTTTTCTCTTTTTCTTTTTTCCTCTACCCTTTATATTAATATTTAATTCTATCTAATCTATCTTTCATCTTCTTTGCTTATTTTTCATTTCACATGTCAATCTTTGTCAGAAATGAAAAGTATCACTTTTTCTTCCTTTTTTTCTCTCCTTTATCCTTTATACTACATATTTACATTTATTAATCTATCTCTCATCCTCTTTGTTTATTTTTCATTTCAAATGTCAATCTTTGTTAGAAATGAAAGATACTACTTTTTTTCTCCTCTACCCTCTATATTACATATTTACATTTTATCTAATTTATCTCCTATCATCTTTGTCAAAAATAGAAAGTACTACTTCTTTTCTTCTTTTTTTTTACTGTTTTCAATTTGTCACACATAATATAAGATTTAATACAGTCTTGTGGAAGAGGAAATATCACAAATTAGATACTTTGAAATTGTGGAAAAAAAAAGAAATAAAGGCAAAAAGTGCTTTAATTTTATTTCTTAAATAGTAATTTTATTGAATATTTTTGTGAACTTTTTATTTTTATTTTTATTTTTTTTTCTTCTATTTTCTTCCCACATCTCTCACTTTTTTTTTTTCGCTTCAAGGGATAATACATTTTAAATTTCTTAACTAAATAAATCAACTTAGTTTTATTTTCCTTCTATATTATTACCGATGAATATTAATAATTGTGATAAAGTATGTAATATAGTTACAATTTGTATTGAGTAACAAACTTCCTTTTATCTCAAACTGCTCCAAATTAAGAAGAGATGAGAAACAAGGAAGAAGAACACAACTTCTCCACAAAACTCAAAACTTCATATTCTCAGCCTCCAAACGTTGAATCTTATACGTTATTGCTTATACTCATCTAAGGGAAGGATCTAGAAGGAAATCAACAAAATCCGAATGAGAAAAAACTTATTTGACTCTAGAGTCTCTCTATAACTTTTCTTAAGAATGAACTTATAATGTTTACCTTTTAAGAAATATCTTATATACTATTCTCCAAGTTTGGCCAACTTGACCCTAACTAAACTACTTCAGCAATAATTTAACTCTCAAAGTTTCATTATCCCTCAATGTTTTAAAATAACATTAATTACAATAATTAATCAATATATAATATATAATTATCAATAAATTAAATATTCACACAGTGTTACACCTTATAATTATTGTTTCACAAGACTTTTTTTTTATAAAGTTTTAAAAATTCTTATAAAATTAAAACAATTATTTCTCTAAAATAATCTTCATCATAGATGCGTCAAGATGCATTCCTTCATAAATAACAAAGTTACGTGAGTAGGAAGTTACTTCAAACTTGGCAAACAAATCTTATCCTTAAGAGGAATACAAAATCAATATGCAAAATATATGTAATAAATACATATGGTTCTTAATTCATCCAAAAATAGTACACTTTAATTTTATTTTTTTTAAGATATCGGAAATAAGTGTTTATTTGTTGTTTGATAATTTTTAATAAAATTTTAATTATTTACAAATAAATAACGAAAAAAGTAAGCGTTACATTTTTGTGTTTTATATTTCAAGAGTACAAACAAAACATCTCTTATGCTCTCAGTTTTAGTATTTTATTTGACGTTGTGATAAAAAAAATAAAAAAATTCTTTCATTTCAGTTAACATTCTACAAATCTATTAAGCGTTAAAGATATTTTTCTATTATATACTTAACAATTTATAGTAAGGTGAAAAATATAAAAAAGTATAAAATATAGAAAAAGTAATCAATACTATAGATGATAGGTTTAATTACTTTTTTTAGTCTTATGGAAATTTTACTTTTTTTAATTTCCATAATTAAAAATGTTATATTTTAATTCTTATCTATACTATTTTTGCTTGCTTCTGATTCTTGTAGTTTATTTCTATAAAAAAATGTAAATTTTATGTAATTATAGAAATTTAAAAAATGAAAATAAAATGCATAAAAATTAAAACAAAATATATTTAATTATAAAAATTAAATGATAAAATCCATGAATTATACGAACAAAAATGTAATTAAACTTGAATGATATAATTAAGAAAGTGAATAATATAATATTCTTTTGTAAAAAAAAACTAAAATATTAATGTTTTTCTTAATCAATGCACAAGAGCCTTAAACATTAAATAAAATGAAATGAAAAAGAGTGTTATATTTCAGAGTTTGCTACCGATTATCTTGGACGAAGAGTAAACTCTTTTAAAAAAATAATCATCGTTAAGCAATAACTATCTGAAAAATTGGGAAGTGAAGCGTAAGGAAGGAGAGAGAGAAAAGCGTGTGGGATGAGCAAGGGCGTGGGAAATGTGGTGTGTGTGACCGGTGCTTCCGGTTTCATGGCTTCATGGATCGTCAAATTCCTTCTCCAACGCGGTTACACCGTCAGAGCCACCGTTCGCGAGCCTAGTGAGTGAGCTTCTGATTCCAGTCTTAATTGTTTGAGTAATTTGAATGTTTGATATGAAAATGAATGCAGGCAATCCGAACAAGGTTGACCACTTGCTCAGACTGGAGGGCGCAAATGAGAGGCTGCAGCTCTTCAAGGCGGATCTGCTGGAAGAAGGTTCCTTCGACTCCGCCGTCGACGGCTGCGACGCTGTTTTTCATACCGCTTCACCTGTTCGTCTAGGGCCTGTCAACGATCCACAGGTAAGTTCTACGTCGATTAGAAATTAATTGTTACATTGATTAAAAATTAAATAATTAAATAATATATAAATAAATAATTCGATAAAATTTGAATACGTCTAATTCAATTTTACAAAGCCAAAATTAACTTGTAACATTGTAAGAATTATTTTTCATTTATATATTATTTAATTATCTAACTTTTAATTGTAACGAGACTTAAATTTTTCTCGATAATTCTGTCTGTAAAAGTAAAACCACTTCCACTTTTCCTCTTCACTATCTTATTCTGATTAATCCTCCTCCACTTTTTCTCTTATTCACTAATGTGTGTTTACGTCGTTTTTGTTAATCGTATATTATCTCAATATAAAAGGAAATCGAACCTGGTTCATTAGCTTCACCTCTCCTATCCTTCTCCTCTGTTAACTATATCAATCAATAATTTAACTCTTTTCCTTTCTAAAATATTGATTAGTCTATTTGTTTTTATTTTTACTTTTCTTTTTTTTATAAAATATATTGAGAGGATCCATTTTCCTTGAATGATGCCTTTGAAAAAATAATTGCTCGATAGACGTTTATGTTCGCAGAGGCTGTCTTTCAGAATTTATTTAATTTGATTTTTATTTAAATTTTAATATTTTAAAAATAAATTATCAACAAATAAAATATTTTTATGTTATCATATAAATTATTTATTATAAATTTAAAATATAATTTATATATTTAAAAATAGTTATTCATGTAAATTTTAAATATAATTTATATACTCAATCATAATATTTATTTGTATATATAATTTATTATACATTTTAATTATATAATAAATATTTAACATATATATTACACAAATTATAATATTAATATCTTATATTAATTAGCGTAAAAAAGATGTTTTATATCACATATTTTTTAGAAAAATAAAATAAGAGTGAACGGTTAATAATTAGAGGTTGAATAATTTTTGGAACATTGTAATTATAAATGTAATTTTTGAGCAATTTTGTAAAGTGAAAAACAAAAATAAAACCAAATAAAAAATGGTTGAGAGAGAAAATAAGTAATTTAAGAGGTAGTTATAAAAATAATTATGTACCCAGATGGAGTAATCTCTTTTATTATTAAATAAGTATAAGTTACATATATATTTTTTTTGTGAATATATATTACTGTAATTACATGCAAGAGATAGGAGGATGTCTATTTATTTTACCATAATCTTATTTATTGTATTTATTAACAAAGTTTAATGGTGATATATTGTCTAAGAAATTTTAAAAAGAATAAATTGATAATTATAAATTTACTGTATAATTATAAAAATAGTTATTATAAAAATAATAAATTTATTATTTATAATAAATTATAATTAAATGTCAATTATTACTATTAAATTGTTATTAATAATCAATGAGAAAAAGACACTACGTCCCTCCGTATAACTATTCATGTTAATAAAATAGTTGAGAAATTATCATATAAATTTATTTATTTTTATTTAAATCAAATAAAGTGCGCAAAATGGAGAATTCCATTTATATATAGATACAGAAATATCTATGATGATAATGTACAAATTATTATCCGTGTATCATATATGTTTATTTAGGGGTTACGTGACCAATTAGTCCTAAGTTAGTCCATGTCCTTATATATTTTAGGAAGTTTGAATTATATTTTGGTTTGTCCTAAGTTAGTCCATGTCCCTATATTTAAAATATATATATATATATATAATAAAATATTTTGATTTTAATATCATATTTACTGATACATAATATTATTTATTGTGATATATATACATAGAGAAGAGATCAAATGAATTTTCATGATTCGACCATTATATTAAAAAAATTTAATGTATAAATTAAGTTTATAAATTTTAAAAATATTTTAAAATTATATAATATTTTATTATATAAATTTAAATTAACATATAAAATACTTTTAAGATTATCTATTAATTTAAATTAATGAAATAAAATATTGAAATAATTTTTAAATTTTTAAAAATTTGTAAATCTATGCATTTAAAATTTTTAATTTAAAGATTTAATTGTTGAAATTTAATATATATTATGAATTATTGAATAGAATAATTTTAATAAGATAAATATGATAGGCCTTTTTCACATATACATTTTATTTCTAATTTTATTTTTAAACTATTACTTTATAAATTATAAACATCTATACTTTTTTAAATAACTATTACACTCTCCTAATTTTTTTTTTGTTTTAATTTTTTTAAATGAGAAAGATACACTTTTAAATAACTATTATTTTTTTTTTTTAGTAAGAGAGGCAAGTGATAAGACTTCGTACTATTGAAATTTCACCCGTCCCAATTAGTTTTGCTCACTCCGATATTTATTGCACAGGAAGATATAGAAGGACCACTATTCTAATTAATCTATTTATAGCACGTTGTAAATGGTCTGGCCGTGACGTTGTAGCACTTTTCCTTTTTACCATTTGAAGAAAATGACATGACTTCGTTGATGTAGTCACTTTCCCTTCAAACTTGTTTACAATTTCCTATTTTGAGCAATAAATGGAATTTTAGTGAAGAGTTGTTCGTGGGATACTATTATAGCATATGATAAGGTATCCTCTCTCTCCTGCACAATACCAATAATAAGGATAAGGCTCTCCAATTTCTGTGTCTCTGCATATTTAACAAAGTGAATGCACTGTCGAAATTCTACTTTAGCTATTTCACGTATCAGAAATTTTTTTAGCTATCGAGCAAATTCTGTGAGCTTTATGAAAAGTACACACTAGAATTTAAGTTCCATGCCTTGGCTTCCTGTTTTGATGAGATAGATGGTTTATAGATCATGAGATTCACCAAGCTGGGATTTTTTTTATCCCTATTTGACTTTCTTAAAAAGTTTGTAGTACAGCTTGAAAATTACCTCTTTGTTGTGTAAATAGATCATTGCCTGTTATCCACTGTTAACTTTTGTTCCTCATTTCAGGCCGAGTTAATTGATCCAGCAGTAAAGGGAACTCTTAATGTTCTCAAATCATGTGCAAAATCACCATCTGTGAAACGGGTTATCTTCACTTCTTCTGTTTCTGCAGTTATATTTAATGAAAGACCTAAAACTCCTGAAGTAGTAGTTGATGAGACATGGTTTTCAAATCCAGACTTCTGTAGGGAATTGGAGGTTTGTGCTATTTTTGCTAAAATTTATTTGAAGTAGTAGTTGATGAGATATGGTTTATCCAGATTTCTTTAGGGAATTAGAGGTTTGTGCTATTTTTGCTAAAATTTATTTATAAATGAAAAACCTCAAGCCCACGCAGGTGAAATATAAAATAGACTAGAAATGGAGAAGAAACTCGAGATAAGGGAAAAACAACTATTATTATAAAACTCGGCAACTTGATACAATGTCTCTTCTCTCTTATATATATTTGAGAGGCGAGAATACAAATAGCAACTAATAAACTGTTTAACAATTGAGTTTAACTAATTGAAATTAAATTAACCGAGTTAATTTCTTCTTCTATATTTGGTAATACCCCGTAAGTTGAAGGTTGGTAGATATCAACCAAATTCAGCTAGAAAAAGGCAGTAGCTTCAAGAGGCCTGCTTACATTTTTCACGAACCACGTGACAGTCAATTCGATGTGTTTCGTGCATTCGTGAAAAACAGGATTAGCTGCCATGTGTAATGCCCTCCTGTCACTACAGTGTTACAACATTTAATGTTTGTATTAGAAACAGTAGAAAAAACCTCTGATGTGTGAGAATCATAGTAGTATAATCCATCAAGCAACTCACTCGAACCAATCATCCTCTGAGATGTGTCCTGTATAGTACATACACCATTAGAATAAGGAACACTTCATATCCTTTGCCAGTCTAGAAACTGAGATCAAACTGAAACTGAATATAGGAAGGTAAATCACATCATGGAGAGTTATGGAACCATTCAAATTAACAGTGCCTGTAAAATCAGCTGAGGCTATATTCCCATTTGGGAGTTTAACTGAAATGGGAGAGACTTTCTTATATGTAGAAAACAATTTCAGATTTGAGCAAACATGATCGGAAGCACCGGAATCTATAATCCATCTATTGCTAGAACTTTCTATAGAACAAGTGACACAATCTTTAATACCTTTGAATTCAGAATTTCCTTTGAACGAGTTAGAATGGAGCAATGAAAGTAAACCCCTGTATTCTTCTTGAGGAAGAGTGGGTGCTCCATGATCCCTCACTGACCTGTCATCATCTCTACTTTCAGTTTCATCTGTTGATACTTGATTTACTGAAGAACCATTTCCTTTGAACTTGTAATTAGATGGAAATCCATGTTTTCGGTAGCAAGTTTCTATAGTGTCATCAATCCTGCCACAATAAGTACAAACTCTTCCACAATAATGGCCCTTTCCTTTATAATTCTTCTTACTATCAACAGCATTCACCGATACTGGGTCTTCAATTGATCAATTGAACCTAAAACAGATTGCCTTTCTTGTTGTATAACCAAGGAGAAGGCACGATTCAACGATGGAAGAGGTTCATCAAAAGAATCTGTGATCTTACAATTGCCAAAGTCTCATTCAAACCCATCAATAAACGCATCACTTGATCATGTTCTTTATACTTATTGACATTTCGCATTGCATAACACTTGCATCTCACGGAACATACAATGAGGAAATGGTCTGTAATTCTCTAATACCTCCCGCGTGACCTTAAATTCATTAAAATATTCAGTAAAAGATTGTGTACCTTGTTTATGTTGATATAATTTTTGTTGTAATTCCGGCTATACAAATAGAGTCACTTTGAGAAAACCTCTCTTTCAAGTCGCACCACACTTCCACAACATTATTCATGTACATAATCCCTTGTGCGATCGAAGGAAACACTGAATTATATTGTTGCACCTTTCCCATAGGTCAAAGATAGGATCAAATTTATCTGGAATCATAAGAGACCCATCCAAGAATCAAAACTTGTTTTTGGAAATTAGGGCTCTCCTCATTGCTCTCGCCCAAGAGTGATAATTCCTTCCGTTCAAAGGAGAATTTACCAAAGCACTTGCTGGATTTTCGCTTGGATGCAAAAAAAAGGACTCTTAGGATTTTGAGATGGATCCATTGGGTCATTCGTACCCCTATTATTATGATTTCTTGGCATGATGAAAGCGCAGCAAAGCTCTCTCTCAAGAGAGCTCCAATACCATAACACAGGCTAGAAACAGAGAAGAAACTGAAGATAAGGAAGAAAAAAAAACTAATATTATAAAACTCAGCAACTTGATACAACGCCTCTTCTCTCTTGTATATATTTGAGAGGTGAGGATACAAACAGCAATTAATAAATTGTTTAACAACGGAGTCTAACCAACTGAAACTGAATTAACTGAGTTAATTTGTTCTTCTATATTTGGTAATAGAACATGTGATTTTGATGTAGTTTGATCATAGTTGATCATAACATGTGAACAGCATAAATGTGCGTTTGCTAATCAAGAATGTGAAGCATGTTAATTCCAAAGGCAGGGGATATTTATACACTCCGACTCTATTTGATTATGGGAAGTGTTTAACAACAAAGAAAGACATTACTCTCCCCGGAAGGAACAGAACAAAAAACAGTTACCTTCCAATAATATTGGTGTATATCATTCCTAAATGTTATAATAATATTGTCAGAAACAGTCTTGCATTGTTAAGTTAATCTTAATCTCATCTCATCTGTTCCTTTTCTTTTAATCTGAAACTTATTTATCCTTATGATTGTTGAAAATTGTATCCTTTACTACTGTTCAATGAATAGATGGAAATAAGTGATTCTTTACCTTTTGAAATTCAGTAGTCACCAGATCAAGTGGAGTTCACTGAGTCTTGAAGGATGTACCTTTCTGTTTGTTTTGTTATAGTAGAGCAAAAATTGTTATCAAGTATTAGAAATGTAATATAAATCCATTTGTGTTAGAAGGGTCATGTATCACATGATAATTGCATTTAGTTTTTGTAGAAACTAGAATTTAGGATGTAGCACGACTCTTTATCTTGGAAATAGTCCTTACTAATAAGTTTACTAAGAGTCTCTCCATATAGATGTTCTAAACAACCTTTAGTATTGGACAAACAAATTATCAACTAGTTTCACTTATGTCTCTCTTCCTCTCCCCCTAAATTCAACATTTACCATAGTGGTGGATGTTCTTCGCTGCTTGATTTCAAGGGATGTTGATAGAGTTATTCATAGGAAAATATAAGGGTCCATTTGGATAAACAACTTAATTAAAGTCATATTGAAGAAGTACTTATTATATAAATACATATACATAACTTGTTTTTATAATGAAAGGGAAATATGATTAAACACGGACATATCTTACGTTATTTTCCTTAACTTTCCCGAAGTTGAATAACAAGAATAAGTTGAAAAGCAAGAATATTTTGATGAATTGCTTGAGTGAGGAAGCACTCAGCTGCTTCTCTATTTATAACTATTCAGAATTCAGAATGAATTACATTTAAGAGGAATTATTAGAAAAATGCAACTCCCTAGGATAATGATAAGATTTCTTCCCATAAATACAAGTATTATCACACACGGTTCGTTGGTTTAGTTTGGTTAACTCCATTTGTTAGTTTGCAAGATTGATTCATTTGTCAGTTATTAGTTCAGTTTAATTAGTAAGGGATGTGACACTAGTGCTCATGATGTATTGTGGAACACACTTTTATTTTATCATTCAATTTCATTTTCTTCTCGTCACTCTTCTTTCAGTTTTGTCTTCTTCGTACCATGTTCCCCCCATGAGACAAATATACATTAAAAGGGAGAAACAGACAGTTAAATAATAAATATCCTCCTATTGAACCTTTTCCACTGTTACATCATCGAATGCCTTGACATCCATCAACACTACCACTGCTGCTGTTCCTAACAACACTTTGACACCACCACTACCAGTGCTCGTATGGCTGTGCCACTGTATTAGAGATGGTCCATAAAACTTTTTAATCTGTTTCGAGTTTCAACATCATTCAACAACTGTTTTGTACTGTTAATCTTGTACTCAGTAGACAATCGCTGTTGAGTTGTAACTCAATCTCTAATATATTGGTTCCAACATGCTGCAATAATTTGTCTTCTCTTCTATAGTTTGTTACCATGCTTGCTAATTTCCTTTCCATTTCTTATGTGTCTTCAGAGGTGGTACTCGCTTTCAAAGACTTTGGCTGAGGATGCTGCCTGGAAATTTGTAAATGAAAACAATATTGACATGATTACTATTAACCCAGTAATGGTGTCAGGACCTCTCTTACAATCAGAGATTAATGAAAGCGTTGAGCCAATTTTGAACCTAATAAATGGTAATTTGTATTTACTCATAAAAGTGTGTATAACTTTTGTTTGCATAAATTTTATATTAGAAAGTGCGGGAGAGAATTTATTTTGTATATTTTACAAACAAGCACCAACTCTAACTTATTTAATGCAGGTAAACAATTTCCAAATAAATCTTTTGGATGGGTGGATGTGAAAGATGTTGCTAACGCTCATATTCTAGCATATGAGATTGCTTCTGCTTGTGGACGATACTGTTTGGCTGAGAGAGTCATACACTTTTCTGAGCTTGCTCGGATTTTACGTGATATGTACCCCACGTTACAAATTACAGATAAGTAAGTTTAATTTTACAAAACATGAATACTGGATTTTATAGCACTTACTAGCTCGTTTTGAAACTTCAACTAAGGCTGAAAATGAAAAGATTATGCATTGACATTGAGTAGGGTTCGATATGAATAAACTTCTTAATAATAAGGAGTATTCTATAAGAGAAGAAAATGAGATGATAAAATAAATCAAACATGTTTCATAAATTAAAATCAATCTATGGTTACGCATCTTATCTTTTTCAGAAGTTTCGATATCTAACTTCAAAAGCTAAGATACATAACTTTGATATTTGATGTATTGTGGAAAACAAAAGAAAATAATTAAGCAAAAATTTTAGTTAGTATGGATGTTTGTGTCTGTGTATGTTGCACAGACGTGAGGATTATTGTAGTTGCTTTAGTTTGCTTAATGACCTGTTCCCGGGTTTTAATGATAATGGAATGATTGCACACTTTCCATCACAATGGATGTCCAATAATTTGAACTCCAACTTTTTGTTGGGGAAACATTCCGCACGGTGAAGATGAATGTGATATAGACATATACATACAATACAAATATAAAATAGGAAAGACACGAGTTTAACGTGGTTTAACACTTTTTACTTATGTATATAGGAACATCTTATCTGATATTTATTCATTCAAATACATTACAAGTTTTCTATACAAACTTGAGAAATCCTTTCATTACAAAAATCTCTTCTCTCATAGGTTGGTGATCCTCTCTCATTGAGTAGTGACCCCCTCTTTTGCAATAGATGGTGATTCTCTCACTCATATTCACAATTCTTTGTTTATGACTCTTTATTCATAATTGGAAATTTTGGATTGATTTTCCAACATTTTTTATATTTCTATTGAATATGGAAGAGAGAGAGAGAAAGAGCTTACATACAGTTTTTTAAATGTAATTAATGTTGTTCTCCAATCAAAATTGAGATTCTTGCGTTTAATGCAGATTTTATTCATATACATTTATGCATATTACTAAAGTAAAATTTCAATTTGTGAATGAGTTTTGTCCACATTAATGGTTGAGATATGTTACGTTTCTCTCTAAAGTGAGATTAGAGATGTTATTGTGTCTATGTATGTATTCAGAGTTATTGCAACAAAATGGCATGCCTTCAGATAAGGTCAAATGCAACAACTTTGAACATGTAGCCTTACAACCTGTGGGGAGCGACAACCTTGAAACTCCAGTATTACTGTATTAGTATACGTCATGATCATGACCAATAACAAATGATTCTGCAAATGTTGAGTTCCGTACAGACGAATCATGGGCGATTCGCTACTTCAACATTAATTATACCAGCAATAGCAAATTCTTTTGTGAAAATCTTTTGTTTTTCTTTCCATTCTTTTTATTTTTGTGTGTTCTCAGCATTTAATCATTTAAGTTTTTCTTTTTATTTCCTTAAAAGCATTTGCACATTGACAGATCTTAACAATGTTATCAGGTGTGAGGTGGATGAGGCGTATATGCCAACATACCAGATTTCCACGGAAAAGGCAAAAAAGAGTTTGGGAATAGACTTTACTCCTTTGGAAGTGAGTCTTAAGGAGACAGTGGAAAGCTTCAGAGAAAAGGACATTGTTAACTTTTAATTCTTGATATATCCTACATGAATAAATGTTAATGACTACGATAAACTCCATGCTTGAGAAGGAATAAGGCTTGTATTTAATCAAACAGGATAATTGTTATATTAATAAAGGACCAAATAAAAAAAAGAAATTGCATTTTATGAATTCCAACTACATAACGTTGAGTACTTCTTATAACAAACCTATGCTAACGAAGATCTTTGATTTATTCATCAAATATGTACGAATATATATATATATATATATATATATATATAAAATGTAACATTAGTGAATATCATTAGCTCAATAAATTATCAAAGCTATATTATTCCAATTACCGAAGTTAAAAAGTACATTTAAATTATTTTCTCCATGCGGTTATCTTTGTGAAGTGTACATTTTAAAAATACAAGTGTCCAAGAAAGATATTTTACTTTAAATGGAAATGGGTTGTGTAAATCATATCACACAAGAGATTAAATGAATTGAAATTCATGGAACAATGTTACTGTAATTAGGGTTGGATACATTGACCAGTCTGGTCCATTTATAGCTCAACCTGTAAATCCGGCAATTTTAATAGGCTAAATAAGCCCAACCTGTGAGATAATTAGTCCTTCTTTTTTTTTTTTTTTCCCATGTATTCATCCTTCGAAACCCACAGTCAAACAGACAAGTCTGCGAGTTCAATAAAAAAAAATTTAAAAAAAACCCTTCTCTTTTTTTATGCTAAAAAAACATGAAAGGAAAATATTTTAAGAGTTAATCACTTATACACTGCCAGTGTAAAGTTTTTTTACACGGTAACTAATTATATCTTTTAATTATGCCATGTCACTGTTAAAAGTAAATGTGTTAACAGTGACATGGTACAATTAAAAGATATATTTGGTTGCCAGTGTAAAAAAACTTTACACTGACAGTGTATAGGTGATCTACTCATATTTTAATCTAAAACATTTATGCATAAAAAAAAAATCTAAAACATATATAAGATAGAAAAAGTATAATATATTTTAAATAGAAAATATACTAAATTGAATACTGTTCCGGCCAAAGGGTGGACTAGGGTTTTTTCCTAGATCGTGCCTCACAGCCAGAACATTCAATAGTGTAATCTGTCTTCTTAATCCTAGGGTTTTGGGTTTTATAGTACGTCGTTCATGGGCCTCTTGGGCCCCGAGGATCGAGGGATTTCCCTAACTGTTCTTATCACGATGACGCGGGATTAGCGGGAACAAGCATAATCGGAATTTGACCGACTGGGCCCATACTAAGGGTCCAGCAGGATAAGTGCCGAGTAGCTCGCTTGTAGGCAAGGGAAACCGAGTCTAACGGGTCAAGTCGGGCTATGACCGACTAGGTCTGTACTGGACCCCCAGTCGGGTTAATGCCGAGAAGGTGGTTTTACTCGCCTTATTTCCGAATGAGAAACCAGGTCGGAAGGCGTCCTGGACGGTACACTTGCCTTCCAGCCTTGAGCCTATAAGGCGATAGGGCTTAAGGTCTGGCCATTTGGTCGGTTATTTACCGAGGGGAGGGTTGTTAACGTCCTATACGTCCTATCACCGAGAAAGAGATCAGGTCGGGCTACGACCTGGACGGTACACTTGCCTTCCAGCCCTGAGCCGATAAGGCGAAAGGGCTTGTGGCCTGGAAACCTAGTCGGGTTTTTGCCGAGTAGAAATCAGATCGAATTTTTACCTGGACGGTACACTGGAAACAAAATAGGAAACAATGCACGGAAGATTCTATGTTGAATTAGGGGGTCGTATAAATTCCGACTCGTTGCCAAAGACGATCAGTCAAACACCGAGTTCCGTACTCAAAATTCTATTAGTTTTCCAAGTAAACTCGGCCAAATGTCGAGTCCCGTACTTACAGTCGCCCGAATCCCGATTCCGTTTTGGTGAGGAAATTCATCTTTGATTATCCAAATTCCGACTTAAACAAGATAAGAGAAAAAATTTAAGCTTAAAATTAATTAAATGAAGTCGTCAAAATCCGACTGAATTAAGCAACAAGCTTCATATTTAGTCGCCCAAATACCGATTTGAATGAGTTATTTATACTCGCCCAGTCGGATTTAACCGATCAATCACGAGTTTGGTCTTTGAGTTATTTATACTTGCCCAGCCGGACTTTTGCCGACAATCACGAGTTTGGTCTTCGAGTTATTTATACTCGTCCAGCCGGACTTTTGCCGACAATCACGAGTTTGGTCTTCGAGTTATTTATACTCGCCCAGCCGGACTTTTGCCGACAATCACGAGTTTTTTGAGTTATTTATACTCGCCCAGTCGGAATTTAACCGATCAATCACGAGTTCTTCGAGTTATTTATACTCGCCCAGTCGGAATTTAATCGATCAATCACGAGTTTGCCTGCGAGTCAGAATCAATTTTAAAAATAATGACTTTTATTATTTGATAGTACCTCATTAAAAACCTTGACCGCGCATTCTCCTCTTTCAGGCCGTTGATCAATGCCATCATCTCCTCCATGGTAGGGTGATATATCTGGCGGACCATCTCCAAACTGATTGGAGGGTGGCTGAATGTAGGCCGTTTCTATTAACAATTGCATCAATCGAGGACCAACCTTTACTTGAGCTCCTTGACCCCAGGGTTTCCAATTATCTTGTCCCCGAACTACTCGCATTGCTTGTTGCTTCTTCTGTTTTTTGATCAAACCCGCAACTCTCTTCCGAAGTATGTTCTTTTTTTTTTATCCATTTCCTCGTTTTCTTCAGTCTGTTGTCCTCCTTGTACAACACACGCAAGATCAGATGATTTGTCTGTGGTTGTTCTCTTCTCCCTCCTCATAAATTGGTGTATCCTAGCCTCGTGCTCAATGGTTTCACCTATATGACAAGCGGCTTGAATGACTCGAGCAGTGCCGACCCCATTGGAATTGGTCATCAACAAGGCCATCAACTTGTGCATGACGACCACAACCATCATGTCCGCAGGAACAACGACTTCATGTAGGGCAAATTCAGCGCAAGCTTCTGCTCGCGCATGTCCTCCAACAGTTCCTCGTACTCCCTCGAGTATTTTTCATGTTCAAGAAAGTAATAATGTGTTAGTTCACTTTAATTTTTATTTCCATTGAGAGATATGGAAAATTAGCATCTAACCCAATTATAACCGACATTTCTACTCATAATTTTTAGTTTTTATTATAACCATTATGAATCATAAAGAATATTCCCCTGGAGAGCAGTTGTTTTACTTTTTTTTTTGTATAGACTACAAGTATCTTCCGCTGAAGTATCCTTCCTCCGCGGAAGATAATCCTGTTCTGTTGCCGCGATAGGATCAACTATGGGCGCAAAGCAACATTATTATTATACCTTAAAAGAGATGTGACATTTGGCTCTGTAAACAGTAAAGCAACCAAAAATGAAAGGACAAAGGGCGAGGCCAAGCATGAGGAGCCTTGCGACCTTCCCTCGGCCAAGGAGCTTGCAAATAAAAGGGAAACCCCTCTCTTTCTCTCTGGGGTTGAAAAGGAGTGCCTTTGAAGGTCTACGCACGAGCAAGGGCGAAACGCTGCCGTTTTGCAGCTGCAGCGACCCATAGCTCCCTTAATCTCTTCAAATTCAAATCCACTCGTTCGAATTTCGCATCACGTTTCTACAACCATTCGAGACCCCGCGATTCGTTTCGGGCGCGGCGGAGGCATCAAAACGGCGCCTTGATCGGAGAATATGGGTGGGGAATGCGGGGAATTCTCGAAACGACAACCCCGTCGATGTGGTCGACGTTGTCGCAGTGGCGCTTGGATTCGGAGATTGGAAGTGAACTGTCTGTGATCGGAGAGATTTGAAGATTGGTTGAGTGCGCCGCCTCTTGCCATAGTAGGGTGTAGGTTTTTTTTTTGTATTTCTTGGGACGTAGGGAAAGTTTCACTCACCGTAGCCCCACGGTGGGCGCCAAAATGTTCCGGCCAAAGGGTAGACTAGGGTTTTTTCCTAGATCGTGCCTCACAGCCAGAGCATTCAATAGTGTAATCTGTCTTCTTAATCCTAGGGTTTTGGGTTTTATAGTACGTCGTTCATGGGCCTCTTGGGCCCCGAGGATCGAGAGATTTCCCTAACCGTTCTTATCACGATGATGCGGGATTAGCGGGAACAAGCGTAATCGGAATCCGACCGACTGGGCCCATACTAAGGGTCCAGCAGGATAAGTGCCGAGTAGCTCCCTTGTAGGCAAGGGAAACCGAGTCTAACGAGTCAAGTCGGGCTATGACCGACTAGGTCTGTACTGGACCCCAGTCGGGTTAATGCCGAGAAGGTGGTTTTACTCGCCTTATTTCCGAATGAGAAACCAGGTCGGAAGGCGACCTGGACGGTACAAATACTTACTACTTATACTTATTTATTAATAAAGTATTAAAATCATTTATATTTTAAAATCTCTAATAAAGTTAGCAATAAAAAAAATTCTCTTAAAAAGACTAGCCTGTGGGATTCACACATGCCGCAGGCTTGCAGGCCAACCCGCAGACCTACTCCCATATACCACCACTAATTGTAACATCAAGCCTACATGACACACCATTTTGTAGATATTCTTTAAACTTATCAAGAATGTAGCCAATATACGCCTTACTTGTCAAGAAGTAAAGAGCTTAGGAATTAATTTTTCCTTCGAAAGAATGCTGTGAAAGAAGGTTTGTATATAATCAAACTAATCTGTTTGAATGTCTCAAAAAATGAATGCACAACAAATTGTGAATATACTTCCATCGTACCCAAAGAAATTTTAAACCATCGTTAGTCAAATTCTAAAGCACGAATACAATTGTCATATTGAAACCCTTCCCTGACATGAACTGTAAGGACGTTCCCATAAACTAGATCAAGTAGTCAGCAAATTATACTCCTAGCTAAACAACTCTCTCTCACTAGGTACTACAATGTAACACCCACCATGCTCAGCTTTCAGTCTGTAATATCAAAACAAAGTTTAGCCTCATCCCAAGGTCCATTGATCTCAAACTTGTACTCCTGAATCCTTATAAGCCAATAAGGGCAGACCACGTTGACAAAAACCAACAAACTAAGCAGCAGCACAAAAAGTAGGGGATGCAGCATGTACACAAAACTTAAGGTCATGGCCATCAAACTGAAAGAAAAGCATAGGTGCAAGCGGAAGGAATATTTTTTAATACAGTAAGTAACCAGAGGAGCAAAAAGGAAAACCTGCAATGAGAATAACATGATACCGAACACATGCAGTCTTGATGGAAGACGAGAAGCAACAAAAACAGAGGCGACTACAGAAGCATTTACAGAGATACAACTGGTCAATGCAGGATTCTTCAGAGCCCCCGGTGCTTTGACCGTGGATTCTGAATAGTCATGCAGAAAAAGGTGAAGTACAAGAAGTGATGCAGCCACTGCCCAAATGGAATCCGAACTAATGGACCTTGTAAGAGTTTGATAGATGGGAGCCAAAATGTATAATACGGTTATGAAAAAGGAGATGTTAAGGAAATAATGGAGGAGAAGGCTAAGGGAAAGCATTTCTTGAGTAAAAAGGAGAACTAAAAAACCTGAAATAAGAAGACTTACATCAATAAATAGGAGAGAATTTTCATCAATAGTTGACGTAAGTGTACGAGTCCAGACCAAGACAACAAGAGCAACAATGCATAAATATTCAGAAATGGAAACCGAGTCCAACATCACCTTTAGCATGTCCCTTTTTACAACACTAGCATTCATGACCATTCCTTCCAGGAAAGATTCATCAGTATGATTGTCATCATAACCAGGTTGCATACCACCATATGCTACTTTTCTCCATCTGGGACGAGGTGGAGAAGAATTCTTAGCCAAATTAAGATCCATTGCAGTAAGTTATTTAATTTCAGACACGCCTGCAGGGTCAAAGTCTATTGTAGGGAAAG